CGCAAAATCCTAAACCCCAAACCCTAAACCCTGAAACCTAAACCCCAAACCCTTAACCCTGAACCGTAAGCAACTAAACCCTTAACCCCAAACCCCATACCCGCAACCCTGAGCCCCAAACCCGAAACTCTAAAACGACAATCGCTAAGACTTCCGCTCCTCGGGCAAGAGTTTAGGGTTCAGGGTTTAGGGTTTAGGGTTTAGGGTTTAGGGTTTAGGGTTCAGTTTAAGGACACTACAGGTGGGGAGTTCAAGGGAAATAGGGCTTCTATGAGGCTTCCACAAGGTATATAGACCCTCTACAAGGCTCCTATAACGGTAACTACCCACCTGAAAATGTCCTAGATTCAGGGTTTGGGGTTTACGGTTTAGAGTTTAGGGTATAGGGCATTGGTTTCTTGGGGTCTGAATTAGGGTTTAGGTTTAGGTTTCCGCTGACATCACACGAATTTTCAACCCCGTGGGGCTCAACGAACTCAAGCAACATACACAAAATACATATATGTATAAAGAGAATTGGGTGTTGGGTTGCCGTATCGAAAAGTTATAAAGGGACTTTCAAGGGAAACAGACCTTGGCATAGCAACAAGCAAATCACCGTGCTTCTGGTAGGGCTATGAGCTACAAAAGCCTGACACTCATAAAATGAGGTTCTTCATAGTTGGATTGTTTAGCGGTCTGGCAAACTATTTCCAAGTATTCACCCACGCATGTATTGTATACTACCTAAACCCTAAACCCGTAAACCCCTAAACCCTGAACCCTATAGTATTTTGAATATAGCCCAACCCTAAACCCTAAACCCTAAACCCTAAACCCTAAACCCTAAAGAGGCAGTACTCAACCCAACCCCAGCATTACTCAGAGGGCCGTGTCTTCTTTGAGGACTTATCCTGGGTACTTGGAGGGTCGGGGGACTTGGTAACGGGTTTAGGGTTTAGGGTTTAGGGTTTAGGGTTTAGGGTTTAGGGTTATTTTAAAGACTTATAAGTATTATAACCTCCAATTAGGATCCCTGTAAGGGTACTCGAAACTCTACTTAATATCTACATACTAACTCCCCTGACCCTCCAAGTACGCTTTTGGGCTCAGTGTTGAAGCCGCGCTGACCTCTGTAGTCTTCTATAACCCTAAGCTCCAAACCCAAACCCAAAGCCTTAAACCGGAGAGCCCAATACCCCTTAACTAAGGAATATACCTTACATTATAAGGGGCTTCATATTATGATTTAAACTATTTTTTCATTAAAGGGTATTGAGGTCTCTGAGTTAAACCAACCTAAAAACCTTACACGCACAACACCCTTATCGCACCCTTGAGAATCCCGTAAGAGCCCTTAACCGAACCTCTGAGAGCCAAACCTTGTGGCTACTTGAGAATGCGAACCCTCGGAAAGACATACCCCTTAACCCTCAACCCTAAACCCCAAACAACCCTTAACCCTAAACCATAAACCCCAAACTTCCCCCTAAACCCAACACTCTAAACCCAAAGCTTCCTTATGGCCAGATTGCGAGATCAAGGCCGGACCACTACCCGAGCCTTGGGTTTGAGAGGCTTAGCATGTCGGATTTAGGGTTTCAGGGTTTAGGCTGTAGGGTTTTGTTTATAAAGTGCATTGGAGCCTTTCTCGGGTTTAGGGTTGAGGGTCTTGGGGTTTAGGGTGTAGGGTTTAAGGTTTAGGGTTTAGGGTTTAGGGTTTAGGGTTTAGGGTTTAGGGTTTAGGGTTTAGGGTTTAGGGTTTAGAGTTATGGTTTAAGGAGGCAGGATTAGGGAGGCAGTTCATGCCTTTTCTCCCCATAAGGTTGCGAACAAACTGTTTCGCATAAGGGCCTAAACAATTACCAATACTATTCCTTGGGGTTCCTTATCGTAGTTCCATAACCCCATTCTAATTTTTAAAGCCCCTATATTACGGCTTAGCAGGACCAGCGTGTCGCTCCCGGCTTAGACGCTTTCGGACTGTAGGGCATACGCCCCAGGTCACCAGGTAGCCATCACGGAGGATCGCAGCGAAGGCATACTTCGTTGATTGAATCTGCTGCACATTCTTCAGCTGATCTCGCACAGCACTGCTGTCACCACCTACGGCAGCACTGCCCCAGGTTACGACAGAGCCATCCCCTCGAATCGCAGCAAAGGCCCCTTCACTTGCCTGAACCTGCTGCACATTCTTCAGCTGATCTCGCACAGCACTGCTGTCACCACCAAACCCAGCATAGCCCCAGGTCACCACACAGCCGTCCCCCCGGATCGCAGCAAAGGCATCACTAGTTGCTTGAATCTGCTGCACATTTGTCAGCTGATCTTTCACGCCACTGCTGTCCCCACCATGGTAAGCATCGCCCCAGGTCACGACAGAGCCATCCCCTCGAATTGCAGCAAAGGCATTTTTAGATGCTTGAATCTGCTGCACATGCTTCAGCTGATCTCGGACGGCACTGCTGTCCCCACCAAAGCCAGTGAAGCCCCACGTCACGACGGAGCCATCACCAAGGATCGCAGCAAAGGCCCGCTTAGTTGCCTGAATCTGCTGCACATGCTTCAGCTGATCTCGAACGCCACTGATGTCACCGCCAAATCTAACATCGCCCCAGGTCACGACGGAGCCCTCCCCAAGAATCGCAGCAAAGGCATGCGCGGTCGCTTGAATCTGCTGCACATTCTTCAGCTGATCTCGGACGCCACTGCTGTCACCACCTAAGACCGCATTGCCCCAGGTCACGACGGAGCCATCCCCAAGAATCGCAGCAAAGGCATCACTAGTTGCTTGAATCTGCTGCACATTTTTCAGCTGATCTTTCACGCCACTGCTGTCCCCACCATGGTAAGCATCGCCCCAGGTCACCACGCAGCCGTCCCCCCGGATCGCAGCAAAGGACTCATCAGTTGCTTGAATCTGCTGCACATTCTTCAACTGATCTTGCACGCCACTGCTGTCCCCACCATGGTAAGCATCGCCCCAGGTCACGACAGAGCCATCCCCTCGAATTGCAGCAAAGGCATCTTTAGATGCTTGAATCTGCTGCACATTCTTCAGCTGATCTCGGACGGCTCTGCTGTCACCTCCCCTGTCACCGACGCCCCTGGTCACGACGGAGCCATCTCCCAGGATCGCAGCAAAGGCCACCGCGGCGCCGCATATGTCGACCCTTCGAACCTGCAACGTCAGCGGCTCCGCATACTGCAGCCTGGCCTTCTTGAGCGGCGCTCCTCCATCGAGAACGCTTCCGCTGCAGTCCAAGAGTCGACCTTTGCCAACTCCAAGGCTCTCTGCGCACGCTCCCTGACAGACTCCACCAATTCGTCGCCGTGTGTCTCCAGCGACACAGTCTTGCCACTTATGAGGCTTACCTCAACTGCCAGTGACATGATGAAGACTCCGCTTCGGATCAGTCCATGGCCAACATGCACGAATGCACGGGGTGTGTTGTGTCTGCGGCCGAAGCAACTATTCGGTAATAGTCTGTCTACAAATGAGAACGACTCGTGACAATTGGAGACTTGGCCGTCCCCGAGACCCTAAACCCTAAACCCTAAACCGTGTCCATGGATTCTCCAAGCATCCTCGGCTGACTCGTTCTGGCACAGCCCTAAACCCCAAACCGAAGGCAATCCGAGCAGGGCCTAGGATGAGGAGCAGACAGAGGAACACGGAACCCTGAACCTAATTTAAAGGAAACTACGGGTGGGGAGTTTAGGGTATATAGGGCTTCTATAAGGCTTCTATAAGGTATATAGACCTTCTATAAGACTCCTGTAACGGTAATTACCCACCTGAAAATGTCCTAGACTAAACCTTAAACCCAACACCCTGAACCCTAAACGCACCGTAAGGAGCAGCCCTTCAACTATGACAAGTCTCTGAGAAAGGAGGCTCCTGAGGGAAAGAAGTTGTTTTTGCAGTCTCCGGAATACCCTAAACCCTAAACCCTAAACCCTAAACCCTAAACCCTAAACCCTAAACCCCAAACCAACCTGAAGACCGGAGCCTCAAAGCCCCCCTGATCCGTAGGGCTTGACCGCAAAGCTTGGAGGGTCGGGGCACTTAGTANNNTTATAAGTCTATAAAATAACTAGTTAATATGTCCCCCGACCCTCCAAGAACAGCCCCGGCAAAAAAAGGAGCGCGCCATCAGAGCGTGCTCCCAGGGAAGAAGTACAACCGCCTAGACAGACAGGGTTTTCGGGTTTAGGGTTCAGATGTGACATGAAGTTTTACACGTGGTTGGGGGAGGTTCTGGGCATTTGTAGTGTTTAAAGTGTCTTTTGTCGGGCTGCTCTATCACCGGACCCATAAAACCTAAACCCTGTCCCATAAACCCTAAAGGCACGAAACCCAACCTCAAAACTTACTTCCCCAATAAGCCAAGGGAAATAAAAGGTGAAACTTTCAGATTACTGCTAAATTCTAAGAACCCATAAAAGTTTTACTATAAGGCTTCCCCCAAATTTTAGAGTTTAGAGTTTAGGGTTCACGGCTTGGGGTTCAAGGTTTAGGGTTTAGGGTTTAGGTTGGTGATGAGCAACCGAGACCGGCCGCTGAATGCAGTCGATGAGATCTTCTTCGCTGGATGGCTAGAGGATATATATGATCCCGGTTCGGCC